AGCAGAAGCAACCCTACCGGGTTGATCAAACGTGCGTCTGAAAGCTGTCAGAAAATCTGCAAAGGACATAGGAGACGTATTTTCCCAAATGGGGTTGGCCCATGCTAAAGCTCTCCCGGACAAGTGGTTTATCAAAAAGGCAATTTTAGATCTGTCAGTGGGATAGGAGCGTGGATTCATCACCAAATGGATGTCGATTTGGTTGAGGAAACCACGACACAATGCTGGGTCACCACTGTAGCGCTGTGGCGGCGTCATGTGAACTACATGAGCGGGAACAGGTACTGGAGTGGGAATGGGTTCGGGCACAGCAGCAGCAGCCTCCTGAACGGCAGGTTGCAAGTGTGCAGTACGAGCCAGAATGGTTTGCAAAGCTTGAGCAAACTGATCCATACGGTGGTCCAAGCCATCCATTCTAGCCTCTTGATTAACTAGGAGCTGTGGTATGTCAGCAGGTTCCATTATGGCCCTGTTGTAATGTCACGATTCGGGGAACCCAACACGCTGGCACACACACACACAAAAGGTGCCGTACCGGACCTTAGAGTGGCCGGGCTAAGCACACACAGAATAGTCAGGAAACAAGCCGAGTAAGGGGAACCAGAAGACAGAATAACGTGAAACGAGCCGAGGTCAAAGGGTAGGAGAAAGACACAAAGTCGGATAAACAAGCCAGAGAGTACGTAACCAGAAACACAAGGTAAATCGCAATACTAGCAAGCAAAGACCACAACAGGGCAGGGAGGAACAGGAAAGGTAAGTATTTAAACCATCAGGTTAATTCTGATTGGATAATTTCCAATCAGAATTAACAATCACACGTGGGAGATATCTAGACCTCCCACTGTGATTGAGGCACTGTGCCTTTAACGCCGGGTCAGGTGACTGACCCCGGCGTGTACAAACTTGGGCGGTCTCCCAGCGTGCAGCGTCATGTATGCTGCCGCTGGGGGACGTGGAGGGAACGGCGGGCGGCATCCGAGGCTGGAAGGATGCCGCTCGCCAGACCCAGGAGGAGGAGGGGACCGCGGGATCCCGACAGATTCATACACACAGATACACACACTGGTACATACAAACACAGATACATACACCTTGATACACAGACACACACCGGCACATACAAACACAGATACACACACTTTGACACACAGATACACACACAAACACTGTGTGTCAAGATGTGTGTATCTGTGTGTCAGTGTGTATCTGTGTGCCAGATACACATTGAGACACAGACACACACCGACACATACAAAAAATGGCGCACATTTTTTATTTTATTTTTTTACGAGGGGGAGACCACTATGTTGATATACTATGTCAAAGGGTTCCAGGGGAAAATCCAATGGGAACCCCTGTCATAGAGAATCACTGGAGCATAGTTATTGGTAGAAAATCCAGCTGAAATACAGAAAGCAAAGGGAGAAATGACATGCAATTAGAGGAGGAGCAGAAAATAGTGCTTTCACATCCTTTCACTTTACTGTTTAGATACAGGCTTCCCACCCATTGACCCCTTCTCCCCTGTCATGTTGTTTTTTTTTATTCTTCATCCAATTTCCTTGTCAATTGCAAACTCATTTGAGCAGTACTCTCTACATGTCTTGGTTCTGTTGCCATTGTTTGTCAATTATCTGTCTAATTCAGTTGGAATTAAGTGACAATGCAACTGACTTAGCAATTAACTGTGTAGAGATTTCTCCAAGATGGGTGTGTCGCTTTATGGTAAACAAGTGAGTATTCATTTGGTAACTATTTGAATATTTGTGTGCACATTTTTATCTGTTATCTAAAAATGCATTGGTAGAAGGCTGTTATTGTGTATGGATAACAAATAGTTAATGTGTAATTCAACACATAGGGAAATTATTTATAAATGAGTCATGCTCTGTAACGTGGTCTAAAGTATTAAAAGTGGAGCAATTACAATTGAAACCAGTAGAACCAGTAAGCACATTGTATTGATAACCCACACCTTTTCAGAAGTTTTTATACATTACCCCCAAAGCCTTAAAATTTTTTTTTTTTTTTCTTTTCTCCAGTTTAGATGCAAGTCATTAAATGTTTTCGGTTGTGCTTGATGTTATTATATAATAGTGCATTTTTATCTTGATAAATATTTTCTGACAAAATTCTTCACAGATAATTTCAGTTTTAAATGTCATTCATTTCACATAGATGAAATTTAACTCTCATATTAATGTCATAAAATAAACACACAGACAGAAATAATGAATACAAAAACAGTTTATTCAAATACAAAGGAATACGTTAGCTAAACAATAAAAAAAAATGTACAAAGATGCCAAATTAACACGGAACACTGTAAATGTAATTGTAGTATTTTGTTTCAATAGTGAACCAGATCAAAAATATTTGTACACATTTAAAAAGAAAAAGAAAAACACGCGAAAACCTGGACAAAAAAGACAGACAATAAAAAGTAAATTTAACTCTGCATCAAACTCACGACAATGGCATATTGCACCAAAGCAGTGTGTATGAGTATTTCACTTAGGTGTATTCAACAACTGGCTGGTATGACACACTGACTGTGTGAATGGCTCGCATGTATTTCTATAGCTTTAATAATTGCATGAATGCAATTTTTCAACAATGCCTAGTACAGTTTTTTTTATATGGGCATGTTCTATGATGTTTGTCATTTTTTGCAAGCCACTAATTCTGAACTATTTTCTGCTCTTTATTACCTTTTTACTGCTCATATGGTGCTTTAAGGAGACACTAAACACAACATTTTTTTTAAACACATAGGTTAAAATATGGGTTGTAACTGAACAGTGTAAAATGTACATGTATCATTGGACATACATGCTGTTTTACACTGAGTGTAGCCCCACAACAGATAAGACAGAAGGCATTAATTAAAAATATCACGATGTGCACCAGCCATTTCCCTCAGTTTTAGATACAATTGTTATAATTGAGTGCCTATTTATTAGTTGTCTATAAAAATGATGGTCTGCAACTTGGGAACCCTGTACGTTGTATACTTCACCAGAGGGACTCACCAGCTGAGGATTAAATGGTATGTATCTAAAAATGTACATGCCACATTTTTATCATCATGTTTGTTTTTATTGTCTTTTAATTGTTGATTATTTTAATTATTGTATCTTTAAAATAGAATTGTTAAAAACGTGTATCAGGTCAGGTCAAATTGTAACATGAACCTACAAATGCCATTTATAACAAAACAGCCACCGACTGGACAACATATTCAGACTCTAGTACTTGTGTTATAATTTACCCAAAAAGTGAGGGATAATTTGTAAGGGAAACCTAGGAAAGTAAAACAATAGACAAATATCTTTTTAACTCTCTTTCCAGGTACTCCTCGAGAATGTTACCCTGGCATTCATTTCCTTAACTAAGGAGTATCAGAGCCAGAATATCTGACTTATACTTACTAAAAAAGTTAGATACATTAAACGTACAGACAAAAAAATCAAAAACATTTAACAACTGTAACAACGAACAAGAAAGAATCATCATGCCCCATGATGTCTCCGGTGTAAGACTAGTTATTCGTACAGTATGGTGTCCATATTTCCACAGTTTCATCATTTTGTAGATAGTCTTTATTTTAGTATCCCAGGAGAACAAACTAAAAACAAAAAGACACAAAACATTATAAATACCAATACATATCTTGAAAAATAGACAAATTGCAGTCAAGTGGGATTGTTAACTAAAGAGAGAATTATGGAGATTTGACAATAGAATATGACACTCTAAAATAGGCAGCCTAAAGCATGTATCTGAGCATGTATGCCATTTATTTCTGGTTATTCATTTTGGCTTCGTTTGACTTCCCTGTATTTTGGTATCCATTTATTTCTGGTTATTCACTTTGGCTTCGTTTGACTTCCCTGTATTTTGGTATCCTTGACTTTTGGCTTTCCCTCATCATTTTGTCTCATTCTATGTCCCCGACCTTGTCAAGTATTCTGACTATTCTCTGGTACGTTAAGTCCAGCCACTCTAAGGCCCGGTAAGACGTTATCTTTAGTCCTAGGTGTGATACAGTTCTGGGTGTTGGATCAACTAGTATCCTGATACATATCTGGAAGGAGTTCAGGCACCACAGCCTGAAAAAATTTCAACAGGTAGCTAGACAATCCTGAAGCAGAGACAAACTCAGGTATACCTCTGAATCTGAGGTTATTTCTTCTGGACCTGTCATATATTATACAGTTGTAGTTTGTAATTAGCTAAGGCATTTTCTAATTCTTGCAGTTTATCAGTCAGATTGGTATGAGCCACTGCATTATCATCCATCTTATGTGCTAAGTAGCTTGTTCTCTGCCCCAGTTGTGCCAGCTCTTAATCTCACCAGTTGTGGAAGTGTGCAGTCAGCGTACAGTTTAATTTTGCAGAGAGATCAGCTAGTAGAGTCTTCATCTCTATGAAGGTCACATACTTATCTTCCACCATTGTAGTTGTGAATTCTGGAGGAGATGGTAAGCCTGCTCTATTTGCAGCCATGCCAATATCTTTTAACCTGGAGAAAAGAGACTTGATCCATCCTGTCCTCCCTTGTTTTGCCCTACTGGAACATGGTAGGATTTTAAAAGGTTGCATAGTTAATATGCAATTATGCAAACATTTTAAATAAACAAGAGTAGCCTGGAGGTATAGCAACTCCTGCTCCATCAAGCTATGAATCAAGGCTGTTCAGACATGTATTCCCCTACCCTATGGACTTTTGTTTGTGACTACTCTGATAGCGGGACGTACCCCAGAATATTGTTATTTGGCAGCAAACTACAGCATTTCAGACTGTGTCAGTTCAGAGCGGCTTTTCTCTGCAGCCTCAAAAGTCACTAAGTAGGAGAGCTTCATCACTGGAAACTCTGACAGGAAATAAAAGTAACTCTCTATAGGCATACATTACCAAACGCCAGGTGTAACTCCAAGATATCTTCTCACAGGATTCTTGCCTGTTTGGTAAGGCAAAGAAGGCACATCCCTTGGTCACCCTACAATCATGCTTCCATTTAGTGAATCTTGGAGCCAGCACAGTTGTTATGTAGGAAATCAATTACAAGTATTCATTGCAGCACATTATGGTATGCCAATTGCAATTACAAAAAAATCTGCACCGGCCTCTGAACTGCTTGTATCAGTTTCAATGCTACCTGCAACAAATTCTGTACAACTAGCACAAGCTCTCACGTCACCATTGTCAAATTCAGCAGGCACATGACCTACAACTCCATTAGTCTAGACATCTTGTCAGTATTTCTCTAATTATAATGATGCACAGGAAGAACCTAGGAAGGCTGAGAGTGCAGTTAAAGGTCTACAAAAGGTAGCTCAAATATATTAAGAGCAGTTGATCATTATGTTGCACCATCTAGACATGATCAGAATCACTTACATGAAAGCTCATGGGATACTCAGCACTGAAATTTAAACCTAAAAATGGATAATGTTAAATGATATGAGAAATGAGGGAGCAGTACCAGCTAACACACATTTGAGACAGGGACACCATCTGCCAAAGAACATACGTTAACTGGTGAAATAGGTGGACACCTCTCGTAACTGTATTTCAGCCTCACTCATTGGTAACGGGTGCATAAAATCCAACACATAACAGTGAAATTTCCCTTACACAAATATTGAGAGAAAAATAGGTTGTACTGAAGAACTAAGTTATTTTATTTATGGCACTTTGAAAGGATGCTACCTTTCCTACAAGACAGTTTCTGAAATGTCTAGATCTGCCCGGTCCATAAGTGCTACTATATTAAGGCGGTACCATTTAGGAGGAAAAACAGCCCTGCCACAAAGTGGTAGGACACCAGGTATACTCACAGAGTGAAGGCACTAAATACTAAAGTATGAAGTGCATAAAAGTAATATGTTGCTTCACTCACTCCAGAATTCCACACTGATTCTGGAATCTACATCAGCACAATAATTGTGGGTCTGTAGCTTGTACATAAGCCTCACATCATCATCATCAGGAAAGCTTTTCTTAGAGTGATGAGTCATGCTTCACTTTCTACCAGTCTGATGGAAGGATGTGGAAGATACTAGGAGAATGCTACCTACTACAATGCTGAATGCCTGCTGTAAAGTTTGGTGGAAGAGGTATACTGCTTTTGGGTAGTTTTTCAAGGTTTGGGCTGGGTCCGTTAGTTCCAGTGAATTGTTAATTTAATGCTACATTATACAAAATATTCTTAACAATTGGACTAATTTAACTTTTTGCCAACAGTATGGGGAAGGCTCTTTCCTTATTCTAGTATGATTGTGCACAATGCAAGAGTCATGAATACAAGGTATGATGAGTTTGCTGTGGTCTACACAGAGCCTTGATCTCAACCGCAATGAGCACCTTTGTGATGAAATTCAACTCCAGTTGTAAGATATGTTCACCAAGCAACACCTTTTTTTTTATACTCCAGCAATTAATCCTAATACATGTGTTGCAAAGTTAGATTATCCACGCAGCCATCTAATTTTTACTTACTGTTTCCGCAGCATCTCTCCATTCTGCATTCAAGGGGTTCCATTTAAATTGACTTTGCACAGATGGAACAAAATATAGTGGCACTCAAAGCTGAGTCAATACAAAGGTATAGGAAAATATATCTACTCCATTATTACAACATATACATAACAAAGTGAATTAAAATATGGCAGATAGTAAAGTATAGTGCCAGTATTACTGACCCAAGGGGAGGGGGGCACATGAGTTAACAAATGACAGTCTCAGATATACTTTTAATTTATTTTCTTATGTTTTTTTTTTTAAATAATAATAATAATAAAGACATGTTTTTCCTTTAAATTTTTATCAACTCCTCTCTGAGTACGAAGAATTTTTGACATATATTCAAAGTCAATTCCGAATGTAAGCCAGACCTCATCCAGTATCAGTGTCTGACCTCACAAATGATTTGCGTGGCTGCAAACAATCCAAAATCTTGTGGAAAGCCTTACCAGAAGAGTGGCAGATGTTAGGTTGCAAAGAAAGGGCTAACTCTATGGTCATGATATGACAACGTGGTGTCCAACACGCTCATATAGGTATAATGGTCTGGTGTCCACATACTTATGGCCATGTAGTGTATAATTATCCACATCTCCTGCTTCTGGCATGTCTGCACAAATACCTTCCCGTAATAATAGTAGTAGTGTGTACTGAGCACACAGAATTATTAAGTATATTTAAGGCGGGTGTTTAAAATTTGTTCATATTATGTACCCAGTAGAACAATGCAAGCGTGTTAGAAATGCTATTACTGGAAAATGGCTAAACAATCTAGTTAATTTAGTTCTGTTTAAAAAATTAAATTGTGAATGTGTAACCTTTGCACATGTTTCTATATATATATTTCAAACTGTTTTCTGATGTGGACTTGCTCTTTATCATTAGGTAGCTGGTTATAAAATACATGTATGCTCTGTCGTGTTTCTCACTAAACCTTAACTTAGCATTTTGAATGGTTAATTGTATTTTCACGTCCATAAGTTATTATGATAGAAAATGTAGCAACGTGGGCATAGTTTCAGCCAGCATTTTTATTTATTTTTCAGGTAGAAGAATGTGATATCACCAGCACATTTCCAGTTACAGAAAAATTGAGTCTCACTTCAGGTTTCTAAGCATCATGGGAATATTTCCAAATAACACTGCAGAGTACAAGGTCAAGATCTGTATAGGACCATTAGTGTAGACATTTTTTGTTAATTTCACACCAATCGACCTGAATTTCCCTTTAGGTAATGTTAGCATGTGTCTATTCGAGCCACGGGGTTTGGGGCATCTGGTTGCCATCTGGTATGTTAAATATTAAAACATAAAAAGATTTCAGTGAATTGCAATGATCTATGGATTTGTAGCAAAAATAACACTAAAATACATACTCAGAAAAAGCATAGAAATATATGTTCCTAGAATGACCATGGATTTGTATATATGTTTTATAGAAATCCAAGACAAGAAATCTGGTTGTTTTTTTGTGTAGGAGATTTTGTTAGAAAGAATTACGTAACTGAAGCATATTGTGTCAGAACTCCCATAAATAAAACAATATTTATAGGATTATCCTTTAAAATGTTCTTCTTATATATGAAATATTTTAGCACTTCTTCCGAGATGGACTGACCGATTGGGCAAATCAGTTAAACATCAAGTGGCAAACAACATCGTTTTGGGGCTTACAATGGTATGGATGTCGCTGAAACCTTGTTCATACTTCTTTATGTCTCTTATATGCTGTGTGAGCCAGCTGGAACCTGGATGAAGCAGACAGCAGTCTCTTTACCTATGGTTTCATTGCAATACTGGTGTCTGAGTCTGGCAGGTGTACATGTGTTCTTTTGTTATGTCCATGCCTCTTCCACCTACAGCACAGTCCACCCCCCCCCCACCCACCCGCACAGAAATAATGCTATAAGTGGAAGAGTCAGGAACATAACATAAAAACGTATCTATACCTTTGATTCTCGGACAAAGCTGTCACTGAAACCATAGTAAAGAGGCTTGGCAGAGGAAATAAATGCAAAATGTCTCCACCAAGTTCACACAACAACTAAGAGACACAATAGAAGGGGTTCAAGAGAGGCAGACATAAGTGGGAAGGTATAACACATGACTGGGGATAGGAGTAAAATGGGACAGTCCCAACTGTGGAAGACAAGTTGATTGGAGATAGAAAAATGTGAAAATATAGTAGAGATGGGAAGAGACATGAATTCACAGTGGCGGAACTACCATGATCACAGCTGCGATCGGGTCCTGTCGACCACTGCTGATGTATCTTGAGTCTAATCTAGTGGCGGAACAAGAAGGGTCACAGAGGTCCCAAGTGCGACTGGGCCCTCTGTGTTTCCCGCCTGTCATGGGGGGCTCAGGAGATGGCCAGTTGGCCACCTTTGAAACTTCTGTCACTGAAAATGTGTGTTGGTTAAACAGTTTGTGTGCCAATGACTGTGTGTCTGTGTCAAATCAGAGTGTGTGTCAATGAGTGAGTACGTGTGTGTCAAATCAGTGTGTGTGTCTGACAGTTAGTGAGTGTGTGTGTCAGTGTGTGTGACTGTCAGTGTGTGTCAAATAAATTAATGTGTCTGTCAGTGAGAGTGTTTGTCTGTCAGTGTGTGTCAGTGAGTGAGTGTGTCTGTCAGTAAGTGTGTGTGTGATTCTGTCACTGAAAATGTGTGTTGGTTAAACAGTTTGTGTGCCAATGACTGTGTTTGTCAGTGTGTATGTGTGTCTGTCAGTGTGTGTTTCGGTCGGTGAGTGTCACGTTCTGTTCCTTGCTGCGGATCATTCTGGCAATGGCTTTTGGTATCCAGTACTCTTTTTGCTGTCCTTGCTTGGTTTTTCTGGTTTTCTGGTCTATGGTTTTCTTTGTTGCTGGGTTTCTGAGTTCATTCTTATAGTCTGTCCCTGGATTTCCCAGTCTCTTGGATTTACTTAAATGTTTGTTTTATGTTGCCACACACGTTTGTTTCAGCTTGGACCTGCAGCAGTATTTCATCTCTCTGCCCTTTCTTGCAGGTAAGTGCTATTGTGGTATAGTGTGGTTATTTTAGTATACATTAGGCAGTGTAGGACCTGCCAGATATGGGGTACATTGACGTTGTTGGCAGGCTTATGCAATGCATGATCATATAATGTAACTAAATCCCCATACTTTTCATAATTAGTGCTTAGCTATGTTTCCTCTTGTTTTACCTTGTATCTCTTGTCTTGTTTTACCTTGTCTTGTAATCCCAGTCCTTGTACAGTCCTGTCCAGTCATGTCCATGTTATGTTTTTGTTTTCCTCATGTCTTGTGTACATGTTTTAGGTTATGCTTTCTGTCCTGCTCTGGTTCTGGGTTCTCCCAGTTTTGTCTTGTTTTCATGTATGGTGTCTATTTCTAGTCTTGCCTTGTTCTCCTAGTTTGGTCTTGTTTTCATGCAATGTGCCTATCTCTAGTCTTGCCCTGTTCTCCTAGTTCTGTCTTGTTTTAATGCATGGTGCCTAGTCTTGCCTTGCTTCAGTACTGGATACATCCCTGCTGCAGAGCCTCCCTATTCAGCTCCTGGGAGTTCTGCTTAATTACCTGCTCCTAGTTTCTGGGATCCGCATAAGCTGAATCAGGGTTCTGGTATGTGGCTGCACAAACACTGGTGCTCAACACCAGGTGGCGTGCGGTTGCCCTGCATCAGACCCTGCTAATCCACCACCACACTGTGACTCCTACTCTGAACATCAGGCACTCAGGGGTCCCGGTCCACGCACCACCGCCCGGACAGTGTCTGGGTCCCGGGCACTGGACCACCCTGACAGTGAGTATGTGTCTTTCAGTGTGTGTCAAATCAGGATCTGTCTGTGAATGTGTGTCTGTGTGTGTGTGTTTCTGTCACTAAAAATGTGTGCTGGTTAAACAGTTTGTGTGCCAACGACTGTGTCTTTTTTAAATCAGTGTGTGTGTGTGTTTGTCAGTGATTGTGTGTGTGTCTGTCAGTGAGTGTGTTTGTTGTTGTGTGTGTCAAATCAATGAGTGTGTCTGTCAGTGAGTGTGTGTGTCTGGCAGTGTGTATCAGTGAGTATGTGTGTATGTCAGTGTATGTCTGTCAGTGAGTATGTGTGTGTCTGTCAGTGAATGTGTGCATGTCAATGTATGTTTGTCAGTGAGTATGTGTGTGATTCTATCACAAAAAATGTGTTAGTTAAATAGTTTGTGTGCAAATTACTATGTGTTTGTTAGTGAGTGTATGTCAGTGTATGTGTATCAGTGAGAGTGTAAAGTGGGCCCTTCTATGATTCTTGTACAGGGGCCCTGTGATTCCCAGTTACACCCGTGAGGAGAGACACACAAGTGGTAGGGAGAATTGATATGGGGGCACAACTGGGGAATGTGGAGGAAAGACATGAGAGATGAGATAAGGAGAAGGTACACAAGTAGGGGAGAGGGATACACAAATGAGGAGAGGCAAAATTGGGGGCGATAAGGAGAGATACACAAATGCGTGTAAGGTGGAGAAGAAACACAAGTGGGGGGGGCGGGATGGGAAAAGATACAGGAAATACAAGAGAGGAGAGGGGGACACAGGAGCCGAGTAAGAGGGAAATAGACACATACTATGGGGAATCCAGGAAGTCTAAAAGAACAAAATACACTTGTAATTACTTGTATACGCATTGTACACTTACACCCCTATATTTACACATTTTACACCCAATCTAAGACAGAAAGTACAGTATGGGTTTGATAATATATGTCGATTTTTCAGTCTAGCTCTGTCAGTGGTGGATTCTACTGTTGTGGGTGCCTGATGTTGTGGGTAACATTACACTCACTGGCGTACATATAGGGGTCGCAAGGGTCGCAGCTGCAACCGGGCCCATCACTCCAGGGGGCCCGGCATCCCTGCAGACCCCTGCGACCAGGTACCAGCCACCATGTTTTGCGGCACCGGCCTGCGCGGCAAACCGCCATGGCCGCACGTTCAAGGGACCAATCGGGTGGCCCATGCTGCTGGACCACCCGATGGGTATGGAATTCCAGGGGGCCCCGGTCAGTGCAGGATGAGATCACTGCTGGGAGGAAGTGACTGCCCCGGTCACTACTCCCAGCTATCAGAGAGCCGCGTGGGATGAAGGAGAGGGAATCAGAGTGGAAACTCTGACTCCCATCAACCTGAGCCACCACTGGACCCCAGGCAAAGTCACCTTCCTGCACCTAAAAAGGTAGGAAACAGGAGGGTGACTTTAACATTTTGTATATGTGTGTGTATGTGTCTGTTTGTATGAATGTGTGTCGTGTGTGTGTCTGTCTCTATGCATGTGTCTGTGTGTCTGTATTTGTGTATGTCTGTCTGTATGTATGTGTCTGTGTGTATGTATGTGTCTTTATGTTATGTGTCTCTGTGTATGTATTTGTGTCTATGTGTATGTGTGCGTCTGTGTGTATGTCTGTCTGTGGGTGTCTGTCTGTGTCTTTGTATGTATGTGTGTCTTGTGTGTGTGTGTGTATGTGTCTCTGTATGTATGTATGTGTGTATGTATGTGTGTGTGTGTCTATCGGGGGGGATTGGAGGGGGGTGAAGATGGAGCACCAGGGCCCCATCGATTGTGTGTACGCCACTGATTACACTAACTCACAAGCACCTGACAGTATATTCACATCACACGATTCATTATATTATTAAATAAAGATTATCATACAACTGTGAAAGGTTTTTACTTAATGCAGTGAAGAAACTACATCATATACTCCCAGGTGCTAATACAGGCTTCACAAAGATTCAGATTTGTTGGTGAGGGAAGCTTAGGAC